CATCTATTTTCAACCAAAACAGCCAAAAAGGACACCTATGCTTTGGGGATGTGGGGTCTATGGATGTGTCGGGTGTGCCTCTGGGACTTAGGGGATTCATTGAGGCTCCAGGCAAATCACGCGCGACTGGTCCTAACATCACCCAAAAGCATCCCGTTGGCTTTCAAGGTCTTTGGCAATGTGGTGGGAAGATGTTGTTGGCCGCGTCTTTTGCGGATCTGAGGGGATGCCTGATTGTATTGCACGTCTGCATTTCGGGGAGGTTGGCCATGAATAAAATCCCGCCACCAGGCAACTACCATATCATGAGCAAACCTTGCCCTTACAGCCACTGCTGCTCAAAGATTCTCGTGCAGGGGTGTCCAAAGTCTGTTTTCTTACCTGGACTATACTCCTTCGCAAGTTAAACCTTCCATAAGTCTCTCTGACCTCCAATCGGAAGGTCTCGGAGTATAGCTGAAAACATTCTAGTCAGACTGGGTTTAATCAATTTAGGCTCCAACCCGTTGAGGTTCCTTTGGGTCCATTCACATCTCACTTCCTGAGTGGATGGGCCAAACAAAACCTACCACTAAAGGGAGCCAAACCCATAAAAAGTGACTAAAGTCCAGGAACTCAAGAAGTGAGACACATATAGGCTAAATCCTGCACCACTTCAAAACCATGGTTGAAACCATGGTTTGTTGGTTGTTACGTTGGGGAATCAAATCAATCCGTTGGATTCCTCATCCACAGTAAACTGTTTTTTTTGGGTTGGACCCCAGACAGGGATTCTGTTTTTGGGATTCCCTTTTAAAGCCTCAACAAAAACGAGAGAACCCTGTTCTTTTGCTTCGCTTTGCTTGCCCAGTAAGCCGATTCCCTTTAAACCCACTTAACCCCCCCCAACAAACAAAAAACAAAAAAAACAAAAAAATAGAACCCTCAACCCCCCACCCCCCCAAAACAACAACTACAAAAAGCTCGAGCCCTCTTCGACTTGCCCCGCGCACCGCAAACCACGCGCCGCCCCCCGAGCGAACCACCGAGCGAAGCGATGCGAGCGGCTGGGGCTGGAAGGCGTGGGAGGGCTCAGGTCCTCGCCGGGTTGCAACCGCCGAAGTGGCGCTGGGCTTCCTCTGTCACTTCAGTACCCAAGCGTCTGCTTTTGGGGTACCCTCAAAGCAATCTTTTGGGGGTGCCCTCAAAAAATACCCAAAAATCATAGCCAAGCAATCTGTTGGGGTACCCTCAAAATCCCCTTTATAGCATGACCCACCCATTTTTTTGGGGGTGCCCTCAAAAATTACCCAAATCATACCCAAGCATTTTGGGGTACCCTGCAAGTCCCCTTTAAAATGACCCAAGTATTTGTTGGGCACCCTCAAAATCCGCTTTGACAAGATCCAAGCATTTGGGGTTCCAAAATACACCCAAGTCTGGTTCGCAAAGAAGTTACCTGGACCTCCCCGTCAGCTTTCCTCTTGGAGTGGTGGTTCCGGGGTTCCCAAAACCCTCCGCAAGAACCCTCCGGGGTTCACCTCCGATTCCGATTGCTTCCAGCTTCCCGGTAGAGAGCCCGTTGGTTTCGAGCCGAGTCGGCGAGGCGTGGAGGTTGGGTGGTTTTCAACCCAAACAATCCCTCCACAAGAACCCAAAATCTAAACCACCGATGCGGAAGCTGACATTGAGCAAGGGGCACGTTCTCAACATGGGGACTGGTCTCAAAAACTGGTTGGTCTCCTTTTGGTTTCCCTTTACTAAAGAGGGTCCATGTTGAGAAACTGCCAACGCCTTGGTCCAATTCCGAAGATTACTCTGGTGAGAGTTGTCCCTCGTGCCCCAATGAGGGCCTTTGACTCAAACGCCAAAACACAACAACAAAACTACCACACAACGCAAATGATCAAAGCGCAACGAAACAAATCCAGAAGCAAAACGAGCAAGAAACAACACAAGACCAATAACAAGCAGACTCTCCCCCGCAGGTGGCCGGTTGCTTGTGCGGAAGCCAAGGTGCTACAAATGCCTTGATGTTTCGCTGTGGCAGTCGCGTAGCGCTTTGTACGGTTTGATTGACCTACAGCTCCCCCTCTTGAGCCGATTTGGGAGCCCAAAGCTTTCAGCGGTTTGGGAAGCAAAGAAACGACGATGTTAACTGTTGATTGATCCGGAGGACCATACTAATCAGGGGTGGCAAGCCTCTTCTTGCCTGGAAATCATCTATTTTAAGGTGTCCCTCCGACTAGGGTTCTGCAGATTAATTCACTTGCAAGACAAGCCCTTCTGAGAATTCCATTGAAACTGACACTTCTGCAGGTGGTAAAAAAGGAACATGAAGAACGGTTCCACGAGCAAAAGCTCCAAAAAGCTCCCCTCCCGGTGCTTTAGCTTGTCCTTTTGTCTCTGTTTTACGGGGCCTGGAAAGGGGCCCCCAAGAACCCAAACCACCAAGAGCGCCTGGGCAGAGACCGATCGCTTCCAGCTTTTTGGGGAAAGAAGGGAAAGGGCGCCACTGGATGTCTATAAGACGCTTTTTGCCCCCAACGATGGAAAAGCAATTCCGGCTAGGGGACCGCTGGCTGGACAAACGCCCGAGTCTTTTCTCGCTTCTTGAACATCGTCCAACTGAAAGTGATGAAAGTCAGGTAGGTCGTTCTTGGGTTTGGGCCCCTCCGAAAGTAATGGGACCTCCATGTATATAGAGACTCTCGACTAAAGTTCGTGACCTCGTTTTCTTTTGCCACGAACATGGAGCTCCAACTTCCCCCAAACCTTGGTTGCCGTTGACCCCTCTGCAAAAAGCTCAACTCCTTGATTTCAACCAAAAAGTTAAAGTCTAAATGATCCAACCCAATAGCAGTCAAGAAAAACGGGTTCCCAAAAATGGGCTGCCCGTTTTCAGATCCCTTACCTGCCCGTCAAGAAACGGTCGACCCTTTCGTCCCTTTCGTCCCTCCGACGCGCGAAGCGCGCGCGAAAGTCGGGTCCAGCGCCAAGGGCTCCGGGAGGTTTCCCGAGAAGCGGCGCTTCAGCGCCTCAAGCGACCGCCCGCGGTGTGTGTGGCAGCCTACGCAAAATGAACAGAACCCGACTAGCTACAAACCTAAAAGCATACCAACAACAGTGAATTGAGTAACCTCAATTCCTGATTTTGGTCAGTGTGCCCCATGTCCCCGTTAAACTCTAGCAGTCCGATGTTACGTAGTGCCACAACAGTAAAGAAACACACCTTGTAGAACCGCTTGGGGGGCTGCCTAACGGAAATCTACTATAACTTGGCGAGTCCCGGGCTTTGAGCCACCTTGTTGTTTGCATTTTTGGGGGGCGTTTTTGTTAGGACAATCAAAAGGGAATCACCATGTTTATTGGGCCCCCAAAACGAACACCCCTACTTATTACGACCAAACAGGCAAAGAAATCCAAGGTCGATCGCCTTGATGGTTTTGCCGCATTTTACCGGTGCACGTTGCACTTCACCTCAAGCCTCATGTCCACAAAGAAGTCTCACAGGGCATGGCTTTGTGCGGCATGCTATCTGGCAGAAGGTCTCCATGTTGACAAACCTCAAGCACATGCCCGGAACTCTCAAAATGAATTGGCGGGGCGGTTCACATCCAAGTGACTAACTTGTAGTGAGTTCAATGGACTCCACTCAACACTAGGCTAAAAAGCTAAGGATCCGGATGACTGGGAGCCACCAAGTGGGGAAGCCCCGCAAGGCAAAGTGCCACTGATGAGGCCGCCACAGAGGCTGCCAGGGCGGCTGAGACTTTGGTGTAGTCCAGGAAGACCTCTCCTGGTGCGATCTTCCGCACGTTGCAATTGTTTTCTATCGTTGCGCTATTTGGAGGGGGGTTCCCCTTAAAACAAAGACACACCCAAACAAGGCTCCAATCAAAACTAGGTTGACTTCCATTTGGTTAAGGCACCAGGGAAAAATGAGAAGATGTGTCCAGTAGTGATGAATTCCTTTTAAAACCAACAGGGGGAAAAATAAACAATATTCGTTTCAGCAAGTGGAGGTTATGTTCCGTGTTTCTCCAGCTTTACCCTGAGAGTGGGGTCCATCATGAAAAACAATCTTCCCCGCATTAACCCCAAAATTGGGGATCAAGACAGGTCGGACATGTTTGGGCCCGAGTTTGGTCCCATTGATTGTGGGGTGTGTTGAAGTCGGGCTGCCTGAAGGTTGCCTCAAACATGGGGGCAAGCTCCCAAAGAGCTGGTTTCCGTTTTGGCGTCCCTTTGAAACCATCTAAAAGCTACCTCGGAATAAAAACAGTCCCAAGTCAGCAACTAGAGCTGTTGCCCTTTAACATACCACTTGTGGGGTGACTTTGACAATGGACAAATCATGAAGCCACTAAAATGGGTTGATTTCCATGTGGTTCTCTTTGAGCACCAGTCAGACAGGGGGAACCACAAATATGAATACCCGACAATATTGCCGCCAAAAAAACGACAGGACTTCCCAATAATGTCGAGCAACCTGGTGGACTTTATGTTGGGGTGTTAGGGTCCCTGAAAGCATGCATTTGGACCAGGTAGCAGAAACAAACAAAACAACAAAAAACAAAAACAAACAACCTTTAGAAACGGATTCCCTTGTGAACCTCTTCCCGCCTGCGAAGGATTTCTTAAACATCACATAGGTTTTTGTTCTTCTGGAGTTCTTTTACGCCCCCTTCAAACAGCGAGCCACAAGAACGCTCATGAAGTGGCTCAAGTCTTGTCCAAAAATGGTGCGACTTTTCAAGAGACCTTTTGCCTGGAGAAAAACATATCTGCTATTTGAGGCAGCCCCCTGGACTTGAATTAGGGCATTCATGTCCAACCACATGAAGCTGCCAACTCCCTGAAAACTCCCTGCCATCTATGGTTGTGTAAGCTTTTGTTCAAAACTGTTGCTCCCGATTCCTTGGAAAAACCAACACCTCGACCCTTCCTTCAGGCAATCATCTGAGCTCATATGAGTTTTCATGGGAGCTGTGGTGAAACTCAAAGCCTCGTTCAGGCAAGCTGCCTCAATGGGCGAGCTGCCTCCAGAGTTGTACCGTGGTGTCGGTCCCCCTGCGAAAGTGATATATATATATATATATATATTCTATATATATGTATATACTAATTGTCTGGCACAAGTTTAGGAGCAAGACCGTAAGGGGGCATGATTCTGGAACCCTTGAAGACAGCGCACCGTCACCCCCGTGATACCAAAGTGGCTTCTTCCGACTCCTAGGGATTCCCGCAACTGCTTCACCTCCGAATGGCTTCCTTTGCGCAAATCAAGTTGTCATTGACAAGACTTCGCTTCCTGGGTGCGCGTCTTTTGGGCAAGCCCCCTTTCCGAAGGCCGAGCGGATGGCCCAAAACACGTGCAACTTGTACATGTACCACTAAAATGGTCTTCCGGAGAAAAACAAAAAACAAAAAAACACTTATGAACTCAGGAAGTGAGTGTCCGGGTTATTTAAATGAGGCAACTCAACTGGGCTGTCCAAACCGTTTTTTTTCTTCTGCTAAAAGCTTAACTTTCCCCCTGCTAAAGGTTTATAACTTGTAGTGGGCTCAATGGAAATGTTAGTGGGTTCAATGGACATGATAGCGGGTTCAATGGAAATGTTAGTGGACGGTTTAGTGGGTTCAATGGACACTTTAGTGACTTCAATGGACATTTTAGTGACTTCAATGGACACTGTAGTGACTTCAATGGACATTTTACGGACACTTTAGTGACTTCAATGGACATTTTAGTGGGTTCAATGGACACTTTAGTGGGTTCAATGGACACTTTAGTGACTTGAATGGACATGTTAGTTCAATGGGCACTGTAGTGACTTCAATGGACATTTTAGTGGGTTCAATGGACACTTTAGTGACTTCAATATGGATATTTTAGTGGGTTCAATGGACACTTTAGTGACTTCCAGCACCCCCAAACCTCCAGGGGGTTTGACCGACCAGAATGCATTCCCCCACCAAAAAAAACCGACTGTATACTTGGCTGCTGCTGACCGCCCTGCAAAAAGTTGAAAACTTTTTGGGGGTTTAGTGGAAAACACGTGTTTTTTTTTCCAAAAAGTGAAAGTCTGAAGGTCCAACCCAATAGCAATCACTAAGTATAGGGGATGTGCATTCCTTCTTCTCTGCGAGTATGTGGTCAAAATTGAGGGGTGGAGGGTCTTTAAAGTCACCAAGTATTGGCTCAACAGAAGGGCTAAAGTGGGCTCCCCCCCTGTGATTTAAGGTTGCTTCTTGCCATTTTTCAGCTGTCAGACTGAGTTCAACTCGGGCCGTCTGCTCTGAGGTAAAAACACAGCAAGCCCCGTCCGACCGTCCTTTGATGGTCTTCAACCGAGCTTGTTCCCAGACTTTGCTGGAGATGCTCGCCTATCGCCCGAGCCCCGGCGGTTTGGAACAAATAGACGTGGATTTGTGGTGGAGTCACCCGTGTCCGCTTGATTGCAAGCGAAACCAAAAGGCAAACCTCAATTGTGGGCTGGGATCCCCTTAGTTTGACACATACCCAAATGGCACTGGTAAGTACTTGGTTGGAAACTTCAAGCAGTGCCACCTGGTTCCAGCAAACTGGGTTTGTCTCAAAATAGAGAAGCCCCCAACTGGAGTCCGTTCCCCTTTTGGCTTCCTTTTGAACCAACCCAACAAAAGGCACCGAGCCCTCAAAAACACACCCAAGTTGCTCATTCAATGTCCTTTCATCAATCCAGCGGATTTTTTGAGGTGCTTCTGCCAGGAGCTCCTTAAACGGCACCCTGAAACTAATCAAGCTGAGTTCATCAGCTCGAGGTGAACAAAACCAGTCAAACGTAAGCGAGAAAAGTCCCGCCCAACATCTGGAGTTTCCTGGGCTGCCCCAGGACTGCCTAAGCAAAAGATAGACATTTCGTAGGTCTCGTGGAAAAAAAAAGGGCGATTTGGTCACACCGGTCAGGCCAAATCGGCATGACGCTGGGACAGTCTTCTGACACCCCAGTGTCGCTGCAGCTGCCTCACCGAAAGCCTTAGATGCTAAGTTGTCAGTGCAAAACACATGTGTCCATGGGTCATAACCTGTGCCCCCGTGTTGGGGCAGATGAACACCCATGTACCACCTACTGTGATGTTGTTTTGACCCACACCCGTGTATTTTGGAGTTGGTGCCCCTGTGAGTAAAAATCAAATAGGACTGCGCTGTCATGTCGAAGGTCTCAAAACTGTTGTTCCGAATTCGGGGATCACCCACATGCAGGCCATCTAAGTAAAACGCTGCTTAGCCGCCTGCTTGCTTGCAGCAAGCTAACGTCCGTTTTTTCCACTGGTGAGCAACTTTTGTTGAACAAAAGCCAGACCCTGAACCCGGAGCCAAACACAGCATTGCAATCACGACACGCCTTTGTTTAAGAAAATGTGGCTTGAACACCCCCTCAGCCAGTTTTCCCGAGCTCCAAGGCCGAAACCCGGCAAGGCCTCTGCGTCCACCTCGGACTCCAGGAAGGTATCCCTGGCAACCGGCTGGGATAGTTTTCTGGCCGGATGTACCTCTTCAGATCAGGGAAAATCTGGAATCAAGCTAGGCCCGCGCTTCAGAAACGCCTTCACTGATTTGCTCCAAGTTAACGAGGCCCGCGCTGGCCAAAACTCCTGACCTCGATCTCGCGCGTGGCTTGTCACAAGGGGCCGTTGCGTGAAGTGACAACTTTTCGTTGGTCGGAGTTTGGATATCGTTGGCGATACGTTTATATCCGTGAAGCTGGGCGAGCTGCGTCAGTCTGACCGATCCACGCGCGCGCGCGTCGCGCGTCTCGACTCCGCGCGAGCGGGCGAAAAGGTTGGAGGAGCTGCTTGGATGTTAACCCAACTTACCAAAAGTTGAAGCCATCCGTGGTGGTAAGCGGACTAACCCCAGCTGCGCCGGTCATAGCCATTTTTATAACCTGCTGACAAAGTGGTCTGATGCCCAGTGACCCCTTGCAACGCCAGGCCAACGAAAGGCAGCGACGCGTTTGGGGGGCCTATGTTGAGACGAGCCCATGTGGGGATTCATTGGCGGACCTCAACATGCAGATGATTGCTTAACCGTTCGCGAGGGAGCTCCACGAAACATCCTCAAACATAAGATCCAGCTGTTTCAGAGCCAGGCACCGTACGTTCCTAGGCCGGACCTGGTCTTCAAATACTGCCTTCGGCCGTCGATTCGGGGTTTGAGGCCACCGCCCACCTTAGTAAGTGGTGAATCTCCGCAGTTACTAAGTCCCGGGACATTTATTTGTGTGGGGATAACGACAACTTACCTGCCGCGGGGTGGTTATCCATGGATGAAACCCAGGGTCTTAGCTGCGGTTTCTCTAGCCGCGACTCTTGGGCCAAAGAACTCTGGTCACGACATTCAGAGGGAAAAAAACATCCAATTGGATTCCCCGTGCATGACCTGTAACAACTGAACGGGGACTTAACTCACGACTGCCGAGCCGAAAGTCCCAACGTATTGGCTAATGGGCGTCTTTGTTTTTTTCTTCCGGTTTCGGTCGGTGCCTTGTGCGGGGCTGAATTTAAAGGGAAACTCAACACCTCTTGCCCAGTTCGGACCCAGAAATAAAAGGTGATCACCTTTTGGGTCCATAAAACTCGACCAACAAGGAGAAACCAAAAGGTCAAAAGGTCGATTCGCTTTGGGCAACTAAGACAAAGAAGCCGCGAGGTTTTTTTGGGGGGGTCCCCGTAACAACGAAACCAAGCAGTTGTGGAGGTCCCCGAAAAAGCGACACGCCCAAATAGGTATCTGGCCACCTGAGTTGTTCAATCCGCAGTCTAATGAGATCCGCTTCGGTCCCCTTGCGCACTCGCTGCGAGAAAGCCTTACGTACCCTTCCCCCCTCGTCACGCAATGGCTGTGGGTTCCCTTTGCCTCAGGGGCGCCGTTTCTTGTGCTTTTGTGCATTTTTTGGAACGACAACCCTGATACGCAAGGTTTTTGTTTGTTGGCATGTGTTGGCAAAAGCGTGAGCAATAGCGTTGGAAAGAACATTTGCCGGTCTTCCCTTTTATTTCTTGCTGGCGGGAAAAAAAGGGCATGTCTTCAGTCGAATCCGCTCCCCCTATTAATAAATCCACCCCTACTGATCAAAAATTGTTTTTTTTTGGATTGTTTTTTTTTTTTTTTTTTTTTCTCGTTTTTTTGTGTTTTTTTTCAAATAAACTTCCAAACAGTCACATCGCGCCCACATTCTTTATCGAGCCCTTGCTAGCGGGTATTTTCAGCACTTCCCGTTCAATCGTAAGCCCAAACTGCAATACAGTACTGTAACTGTTATGTCGCCTTTCAAACTTGAATTGACAACACGGTGTTGAAGGTTTTTGCGCCCGGCATGAGGAGGGGAACTTGGCAAGGCCTTCCTAGTGGTTCTGGGCCCTGCAACATAATCATACAGAATAGCTTTTTGACTCATTGTCATGTGGGGGTGTCTCAACTATATAGACCCCCTTTTGGGTGTTCAAAGGGAAACAAATGAACACCAAGCAGTTTGGGGGAACTGTTTGAGAAACAACTCCCACATGCTATGGGTGAGACTCCTGACGCCTTCCGCTGGGTTTTTCCCAAGGAAATAAGCCGCGATCCAACAACTGAGTCATAGTCAAAACCCAGTATCAACATGGTCGACCCAGAACCATGTAAAGAATGAAGAAGGCGGCCGCAGCTATTTATGGTTAGGAGCATCCCTTACTAACCTTCATCTACCCGGGTTTTGATTGTGGCTCAACTGACTTCTGGCTCTAGCAACGTGTTTAGCACAATTGAGAGAGATGTGAAAGGAACCCCCATGAAAGATGTCAGGAATCAAAGCACCTGAAGCTATCATATTCACCATGCGGATTCCCCAAGCCTAAGCATTGCAAGTTTTTTTTGGCAGATCTAGATCAACCACAAACGATTGTAAACATCAGAGGTTCCTGACAATTAGGGGCATTTATCTCTTCGTGACCTTTGGCGAAAGAAACTCGCTGTAGGTTGAGTCCACTTGGATTGACACCTATGCTAGCAAAAGCGGACTGCTCTTGTCAGCCACCCACTCAAACTGCTTGCAGAATGCAAATGATATGCAAAGAACTGAGGTTGGCACCCGAAACTGAAGAATCCCCGGCAAGTAGCCACCTCAGGGTTCCCTTTTTTCTACTCTTCAAGCCATATGGGTGTGGCTCAAAATTAACCAGGAGGGGTTACGCAGGTTTTGGGCCATGTTTCCACTTACCAGGGTTTCATTTTGGTACCGGTTCTTTGAGCCATACCAATATAATATATATATATATGCATTGTGTGTTTAACAATTCCAAAACCTGAACTAAGGGAGCCGCACCAATCAGCGTCTCACCATGCGGTTGGATGTGGCTGGTTTACTTATGCTTTGTGCTCAGATGAAGATCTGCTTCGGCGACCAATTTTAAGAGCCGTCCTTGGCAAATCGAGAAAGCACACCTCCATTTGCTTCAGGCCCCCTGTATACTTCCAGTTAAATCATGTCCATCTCAAAAACCAACAGGAAAAACATAACACATAGGGCTCGATCAATACTCCTGGCCCCCAACTGATCATGGGTAACTTGTCCCATGTGTTGTAAATATCGAATGATGTTTATTGCTTTTTGTCCCCATGGCCATCGCATGTTTATGACCTTTTGATCGTTTGGAACCCCCCCAGTTGCTGCCCTCAGCCCACTTCCAAGGCCTTCCAAGGCCCCTCAAGTCAAGTATAGGCTGGCCTGCAGTTCCAAAGCTGAGCCCGGAAGAATTCTGCCTGTTCTTGTTTCGTGCGTGTGTGTGCTTGTTTCTATTTGTTTTTCTTGGGGGGGAAGAACCCTGGATTGTAGTTGCTCTTTGTTTTGCTCGTATTTTTCTTTGGGAGGGGGGGCAGGAACCGCCGGGGCTGTTCCGAAGGCGCCTGTAAAAGGCATCAGAGCCACAGCAGCTCCACCGGTCGCCTCATGTTCCGCGTGTCGGGTACTAATGCGTAGGGTCTGGGAGCGCATGGGCCTAAAGAAGGGTCGAAGCAAACAAGCAAAAGACCAATCCACAAAGCCAATAGTGTGTAACCAAATGGTAAGCCTGGTGTTTCAAACAACCAGCAAATTCCGGGGAACTGAGGAAATGCAATCATATACCATAGTAGGTAACCACGGCAAACCATCATGTAAAACCTAGAGGCACACATATTTATGGTGTTCTGCTTTAGTGGCAACTCGAAACACTTGGTAATGGTTCAAAATCTGTTGGGCTCGAAACATGTGACCTTTGTTTTTTTGGTGGTAGTCTCAACATTGAAACAAGAACCAGGTGCCATCTGCGCAGAGGAAGGATGTCGTGCCATGCTGCCTGGTTGATTGACAGTTCTTTCCCCATTTGCTTGGTGGCTCCTTGTCACCCCAAAATCCAGAGGCGTTGAACACATGAGAACAAGATGCATGGGACTTGTAGCACCCCCCAAGGTGCACGGTCGGATTTCCTCCAAAGGGCCACGAACAGGTCCATTCAAACCGCCTCCAAATGCAACTTGTTTTCTTTTCTTGGAACCCCAAAAGCGGGTTTTGGAACTGCAACCAAGACCTGCAGATCGGCTACCATCCATCCCTTTGAGTATTTTGCGTGGTGCGGCAACCATTGGGGTGTCTTCCCTGGCGAGTTTTGAAGGGATCTCGACATGGACGTCTCGGCGTAACAAACAAGGTGTTAGAGGAGATAGCACCAGATCCAGTCTCACGAGTGATTCATGCAATGATCTGGAGTCAGCCGCATTTGAAACGAGCTTTCACTAGCTAACCCGTGAAGCTATGCCTGGCTAGGTTTCAAAAGTGCCGATTCTGTGCTGCCACCCCTTATCTTAGCTAACTCACTCAAGTGGTTGGCTGCTCTTTGACCTCCACAAACGTAAACCTGTTGCTAGTAGGCAACAAGTCAGTTTCCAGAAGACTACAAGGCTATTCCGGTCAGCCAAGTCCGCATCCATGTGCCCCGGCCATACGGCGGGCAGTCCAGGTCTACCTTCACCACACCTCGGCCCAAAGGTGCGGTCCAGCTTCAGCAAAAATGACCAAAGAAGCTGAAACAGCTTCACTTGTTTGACGTTGGAAGGGGAGCAAACATTTAACTTCTAGCAGTTAAGTGGTTGGATTTCAACCACTAAACCACCATAAGCAAAAATGTAAAATGTTTCCCAACAACAACCATGTTCAAGGGATGTTCATTACCGTAACACATAGACTACACTCAAGAAGTCGAACACATGACACAGGCAGATCATTTTGCATTCCAAGCCCTTGAGAACCTTTTTTCTGCTGTGGAATGGCCACGCCCATTGGTGTTCTTCACGACAGGTGAACCGCAATCTGTCGCAAGCAAGTGGCAACAAACTGATCTCCTGTGCGAGTGCAGAGCACGTTCAACTCATTGGACTGCTTCCGGTACCTCCCCATCTTGTCAAGGCTTGTCAATCGAGTGAACCTTATATAACCCCTTTCCGATTTTCCGAATGGAGCTGAGGGCAAGCCCCAACATCGACATGCCCACCTGCGTCCCAACGGCTTTGTTCAACCAGGTAACCAAAAAGCAGCGATGCCATGTTCATCTGAAGGGAAGTACGCAAGAATTGCTGGTTTCCTTCTCGTTTCCCTTTAAGACTAACCAAAAAGGGGTTCCTCCATTGACTAGGTCCTCCAGTATAGAGGTTAGAAGAAGGGTACCTTTTTTCTCTGTTTTGTCTATTTTGGTAGGGCAACCCTCACCCTCCCCCCAAAAAAGAAACGGAGAGAAGGGCACCGCATCGGATGGGAATCCGATTTCTCAACTCCCCCCGTTTTTGTTTTTTTAATCGGCATCTGACTGCGTCCTCTTGACACATTCGCCACCCAGTGGCATAGCACTGTACATGAATTTGTCCTCAAAAGGGCGATACGCAACACAAGAAATGTGAGCGCCCCCTGCCTAGACTTCAAGAGGTTGCTTCGATTTGGGCTGGTGATTTGACCACTCCAGGACGAACACATTCCAACCTGACCAACGAGGGTGTACACAGGATCCATTCACAGTCGTACTGCAGCTTGGTTGCTGGCGAGACCTCTCTGCAAGAATTGAACTTGTTGTGGGTTCAATGGAAGACCCTCGATTTTCCAAAAGTTAAAGTCTGAAGTTCCAGCCCAATAGCAATCAAGGATTTGCTGCACTCCCATATGGGACGATGCCTGGCTTCATGAGTTCATGTAGCCAAAGGTAGAAAAGATGATGTGATTGATGTTGTAGGTAAGGAATCTCAAACAGGGGTCACTCAATTTTCCCCTCAAAAATTGATCAAAAGAAGGATCCAAAAAGGGAAATGGCTTGGAAACCGTCAAACTTTATGAAGGTTCCCATGTTTGCAAAAGTTGGCATAGCCCAGGCAACATGTGCCCTTTTGACTCAAACTGCCCCTCTGTCCAGCATGGGCGCTTCCAAAGAACGGGAACCTCGGGTTGCACATGTCTAATGGAACTACAGGTCCAACAGCCAATTGGCCCCCAAAAATTTGGTCTGAAATGCGCCATAGTCCAAAGTCCGCGTGGTCAACTGTTGCCAATTTGAAAACCCTTAGGGGGTATTGACCACTCAAACACGTGTTCCAACCATGTCACTTGCAAACTGGCAAAGACGCGCTCTGCGTTAGACTTACCAGCAAGGGGGTGGTTTGGAGGTGTTCCGGTACAAGGGGTCCTGATTTGGCCGCTCAACAAACTGGTATCCAAATCGAATTGCATGGAAACAAAGCCTGCCTGTCAAACCCATTTTTTCTGCCCTCAATTGTTGAGCCACACCCATCTGGGGATACCACAAACCTGAAGCTACAAAGGGGAACACAGAAAGGGGAACAAAGAAAAGGCATTTGGGGGGTCCAACCTCTAAACAGACACACCCAATTTGATCTTCAACATAATTGTGTCAAGACCATTTTTAGGCATGGGTTTTGGAGGTATGCAGGTTCTGTACCACTTCTATAAGGGGTTATGTAACGCCTGAACCCCATACCCGTAAATGCCCTTGAGTTTTATCTTGGCTTAAGCCCCTCAAATCCTTCAGAACCTGAAAGCCTGGGAAGACGACTTTTTTTCTGGGAAAGGAGAGTGGTGTTTTTTCCAGGTGGGAGGGGTAGGTTAAACGAAGATTTGTTGAAAGACAAACGCAGACAGAGAGCAAAGAGCACGAAGAATGGCCATCCTTGGCAACTCTTGTCTAGCAACCTTCTTCAGAGGTCCGTGACACCAGGATCTACCACTTCACCCACGTCGCCCCGTTCGGTCCAGCTATGCTGCAGTCCACCCCAAACACATCCCCCAAACATCTCCCCCTAACATCCCCCTACCATCCCCCAACCATCCAGGACTTGGTGCATATGTAAAAATAGGACAAGCCCCCACAAAAACAAGCGACGTCCTTTCGATTTCCCTTTCAACTAGGGTGAAAAGGGTACACCCCCCACCCCTCTCCCCCGCCGACTCATCCAGAGCACAGACGCAGGGCTGCGCACCTAGCGAGAGCCAACTCGATAGGTCCATCCAGCCAACCAACTGGATGGGTTGACCCCCGCTTTTTGTTTCCCTTTTTTAGCCCACCCCAAAGCAGAGAGCCTCAAAACTTAAAAGAGACTGCATGGTCAATATGTGTTGCCTATGGATGCAGTTGGCCTGCCGCTTGTCGTCCACTACTCAGTTGTTCAGTGACCCTGGAAAAAAGGGAACCCTTTTTGAGACTAAGCATGGGCATCCCTAGCACCTTTGGCACTTGGGATTCAGCGCTTTCAGCTGCACTGTCTCGGGCTTCGAAGCCCTCGGTCGTTTGTTCCGGAAGGCTTCGGGTCACACATGACTTGCTGGCAAATCGCAAAAAAGTCCCCTAAAAAGAGTTACCTCTGAATCTTGAACACGGTTACCTAAAAAAAAATGGCTTCCTCAAAAAGTCTCAAAAATGTATGTTTACCTCTAAACTGGTCCCAAGTAATGTTGACCCAGGATTACTAAACCCGTCCCAGTATTAGGGGGGAACCTCCAAAAGTGGTCTGAATCCCCACTAAAAGGGGACACCCCCCAATAAAAAGTCAACTAGGGGTTCTTAGATCCGCCGTTAACATTACAAAGCAATGACAAACACTTCTCCGCACGGGGGGCGAGGTAAACGGCTTGAGAAAGTTTCACGATATCCTCACTTGCCCAAAGGACCCAGAAATATAAGGTTAACCTTTTGGGTCCATGACTAAAACTAGACCAACAAGGAGAAACCAACGGGTTAAATGGACTCTTCCACTAAACACTAAAAGGCTAAAAAGCCAAGGGGAAGGCTGGGAGCCACCAAGCCTAGTCTTACGGAGCAAAATGGAGGAGACCCCAGGTATGCATATTAAACTGGGCATGTTCCATCTAGGAAAACCACTTGAAAGGACATTGACCCAACAAACAACTTGCGTAACCTGCGCGCGGAACGGATCTTGCGGATCTGATCATCAGTTAGGTGGGGATTGATGTCCACCAACCGCTTGGGATGTTCCTTCGGAAAAAAAAGGAAGAATAATTAACATTGCCTTGTTTAACAAACAGTTCGCCCGGACTGTTGACCAAAGAAACCAACATGACTCCATGGAGTGCTCAAACAATCCGTAAGATGATGCCTTGGAGCGTCAGTGGCTTGGCAAACAACTAAGAAGGACAACTTTGGAACCAAGCAGAAGCTTCCAGCCTTGTTTAAGTCTGAAAGGTAACATGGAGACGACCCCAGGTATGGATACTGAGAGCTGCAGGACCGAAGCTTGTTTCGGCCTTCACACCAAAGTCATTTGCTTAAGGTTCCCGGAAAACGATCCAGCGGTGAAGCCGATTCCCTTTAAAACCCGACTTGGGGGACAACAAAACAAAATATTCATTTCAGCAAATGGTAGCTTAAATCCAATATTCTGATTCAGAGTCATAGAAATGGGAGCCAATGGAAGGTCGTATCCCATGGTTCTTGATAGGACCCCCCGGATTCATCAACCCCTGGTTTTAGTGGGGATGGCCACTTTTGGAGAGGAACACCTCCTTTTTTTGTGGGACGGGTTTATTCATCCGGGGTCAGTAGTGACAACTAGCCGCTCATAGTCATGTGCTGCAATGGCTCCCCTTGCTATCGCTTTGATTCATATGAAAAGGACCTTAGCACCAGTTGGCAGGTGGTCTATCCAGCATTGTTAATAAGGCTTCATCCATCTCAACTGGTGCGGAATCTATCCATCTACATGATGCTCAGGACCATCCCCACTAACCCGAAATAGCCAGGTGCTCAAAGAAAGGTATGTGTGTGTACATATGTGGGGGGCACCTTCGGATTGAAGTTCTCGTTCGTAAAGGAGTCTCACACATTTCGAAAGGGCGTCCTCTTCCAAGCAAACAAAGGACACCCAAACATTCATGCTGCGAGCGTTAGATGATGTGTTAAAGAGAAATCCAATAGAAATGAGTCTTACAACCTTCCTAAATGGTCTAGGAGCTGGACAAGTCTAAGGGCAACGCAAGCTGCCTTGGATACAGTCCCACTTACAACCAGTGATCGCCCCTTCCACGTGCGTTGTTGGTACCACTCAAACCTGGACACAAACACCTTTTTTTACAGGTCAGCAGAAAATCAATCTATTGGTTGGTTCCCACTTGCAGCAGGAGCAACAACCAACACAAACATCTACCTAGAGTCTCCATGACCCTGTAAAAATGGTTGGTCATTGCCCAAAATCAAGGGGTAAAGGTGTGTTGCCCTGTTGGTTTCTACGAGGAGGCAGTGGCTTTTTCTTGTAGATTGATATCTAGAGTCTCCATGACCCTTAAAAAATGGGTCCCTGGGAACAGTAAGACGACACACACAGAGAGGCAAACGCGCAAAACACAAGCGCATACAAGCGCGCAAGCACGCCATAGAAGCAGACTTAGAGACACACAGTTAGACAGGAACACAGACAAGCCGCCAACCCACAAACACACAGACACACAGGCACACAGACAAACAACCATCCAGACAGACAAAACAAACAAAAAAACAAACAAACAAACAAACAAACATGGCAATATCAATGTCTCACACAGTCACACTTCGAAAACATAATGACTCATCAAAAGTAGTTCGTCAACAAGAAGCTCATCCAAGATGTGGATACAATGATATACATATTGGTGACTCGGTGGACATCATTCACAAACTTATTCTGATCACCAACCAAAAATGAAGGATCCCTCTAGACCTTCCCCCGTCGCAACCCCCGAAGCGTGACTTGCTAGGATTGATGCAACATGAAAATGGAGCCATAACTGGAACCACCAAATGGAATTCCACAGCACCTGAAATCATGAACCGGGTTTGTCTCAAGGGAAACTTTCATAGGATTTGTGTTCAAAAGTTTCCCACCCCCAAAAAGGGTATCCTCCACAAAAACGACGAGCTACCCAATTTCCTGGGCGTCGATCGCAACCAGCTTAAGGCCCGCACCCATCTCTTGACATGGAGGCGCGAGGCTAAGGAATCGTGAATCGGTGACGGTTTTTCCAGCGGAAAGTGAAGCGTTACAATGGGTGACCGTTTGGGCAAACAAAAAGCTCAGGTGATATCCCCAACAGCATGCAGTGCTCTTTTTAGTGCTCGCACTACCCCGCAGCCCTTGCAGAACCTCGTGGAACCCTCGTGGAACCCTGGTGGAACCCTCGTGGAACCCTCGGGACAAAAAAGATGGGGTTCCCCTCGTTTTTTGGATGACACGGTGGTTGGCAATCCTCCGGCAATTTCAAAGGAGAAGAGCTTTCCGCTCAAACCAAAAAGCGAATGAATCAAATGACTCAAACCGCTTTCTGGTAAATGTTGGGTCTGGGCTGGTGTTGGGTGATGCTGATTTCAACCCCCTGACTCAACAGGCTATTCAAGCGGGGGTTGGAAGCAGTGAGTCTGCACTCCGTGCTCGGTGATCTCGATACCCAGTGAGTGTACAGGTATTGCATTTCATAGCTTCTGCGATGTACGCAAAACATGTGTTGATTTAGGTTCCATGCATCAGGCGGGCACCACTGTATATACAATCAATTAACAGCCACGTGTCTCATTGAGCAACGCGCTGCGGAAGACGACCGCTTCCACTCCATGACTGAACAGATCCCAGGCTGACGTGTTTGAAGTCGACCCCCAAGAGCTCGGCCAAAGGGAACCATCCCCCAGGCAGAAAAACTTTGGTTCCCCGCAAGCAAAGTAAACCTCAACGCCTGGGACATAGATGGTCAAAACCTGAGCTTGCACCAGCAAAATCCAGTTCGATTCAAGAGCCGCATTGAGTTTAGTCTGATACATGCCTCAAAAACTTAGCATACTCGTTGCACACAGTCTACATAACCAGTCGCAGGTCCTTATTGGGCGGCTTGACAAATGACTGCTCGCTGATCAACGCAAACGTGTAACGAAAACACCTTTCGCAGGCTGACCAGAATTGGCCAGAAACTTTGACTGCGCCGCATGTACCGGTTGTACGAGGCTTCCACTTGTGTCATGATCAAAAGTACCTACGGTGGCTGCCCTAAGTATCGCAACTAGGGGAAGAAGGGACCTCCCTAATTTCCCGATGTTTCCAATGTTTTTGTGGTGGGCGTGGTTAGTTTACTTGCAAGATGTAGTTGGCATCCAGCGAATGTGCATCATCACTGCTTCTCGCAGACCCACCTCAAGGGGGTTCCCCGGTTTACCTGCCCGTCCAAGTTTCTTTCTTTTTTTTAGTTCTTGTGCCGCAGTCGAAACGCCTCATCTCTGTGGGCCATGGTCGACATATTTTGAGCGGACGTTTGCCAAAGCTAGGCTGAACTGTGTTTTTACGAACTGGAACTGATCACGAACAAAGCACTGGAAGATATGCTTAGCCGTTTCTACGAGAACAGCTGACCAGTATGACCACCTCCTTTGAGACAAACAGTAACAACAAAACACATCTCAACTCAGCTCTCCCTTAATCAATTGCTTTGCGATTTGAATTGGTGGCTTGGAGGCTAGGAAATGCCTTCCACTTTATCACTGTATTCTCTATAAGAAGCAGGGGTTCAAATCCCCAAGCCAACTAAGACTGACCTGACCAACTCTTCCATTTGCTCATTGTGGCAAAGCCGTCCAACGCTTGTCACTTGCTGGCCCCCAACAAACATGAAAGACCAGGGCTCGGCTGCTTTCTGCTCCCCTGCTAAAAGTTTAACCTTTAGCGGTTCAATGAAAAACCCATTAGTTGGCAAAAAGTTGAAGTCCCAACATCCAAGCAAAATGCACCAAAGAGCAGTGATCTCGGCAAAAGGATGCCTTCAGTCAGCCTTGTCTCTTTACCAAAAGGAAAGGGGCACGTGCCTCTTTGAATGGGCGACTGCTCTCAGTGGATTTGCATATGCTTGCCTACTATCACCTATGGCCTACTATCACCTATGGTCCGGGACAAGCATTTCACTCGGCGTTTTCATTGCTGGTGCTATAAGGGGTCTGACAAAAATCAACAAAATGCCCGTTCCTTGCGGTATCCCTTGGGGAAAACTACACAACTAATGTTGACCCCAGATTTCTCAACAGGTCTTATGTATAAGGGGATTTCCCTCCAAAAGTGATGAACTCCCAAGGAAAAAACCCTCTATGAATTAGTCAGAGGTTTGTCACTTGGGGACAACATTATTTTGACCCAGCAACTTGACTTCCCCTTGCTCGCGCACCCCTCAACTCGTGGCTCGCGGACCATATGCACATAGGAGGCCCCATTCTTGGGCAAGCCCAGGACAAAGACTGCCTGGCGAACGCCAAACTCAAACCTCTTTGGTCGACTGAATTCGGTGGTGACTCATGTCCACCAACCGCTTTTGAAGTGGTTGCCCTAGAAATTCATGGCCATATTATCTGGGCTGCCCTCAGATCCCCCGCGAAAAGTTTAACTCTTAGTGGGCTAAATGAAAACTACCACTAAACACTAAAAGCCTAAAAAGCCAAGGGGATGGCTGGGAGCCACCAAGTTATGGATTTGTGGTTTTGGAGGGTGCCCGTCACAGCTCGGTTTTTCGTTGGAAACCAAAGGGCCAAAGGGAGACAGATATGTTGTTCCCGACCGGGAAGTTGGTGAGTAACCCCCATTCCATGAAGTAATTTGGTGAGTGTACCCAATCTTATTCCCTTGGCGACCATAGATACCAGGGAACATGGACTGTTGCTCATGATATGTGCCACTGTGACAATGTGCGGCTACCCTGTAGGACATGGGACAATGAGGGTTCCATCCTCCTCCTTTGGACATTCGGTGGATCAATTGAGCATCTGGTTAGCCTGACACCCGCACACTCGCGCCCCTTTGGGTCGCAACCTTTCAAGCCATTGCCAACAGAGTCTGATAGTTCCTGGTTGTAGACCATCATGATATCTGACTTTAGGGAAGCTCCAATGTGGTTGGAGAACCTCCACTGAATTTTGATGTGGAGGTCCCGACTCTCAAAAAACAATTCAGCGATGCCTCTGCAATAGAATCGCTGCGCGTTTAAAATTTGGGCTCATGACAACTGCATCCGTCAGCCGCTCAGCGTATTTGAGGGAGAGAGCCGGGATCAAGCAGGGCTTCTTGCACCCCAAAGTGGTGGTTCCCAAAATGGTGTGGTGGAATTGACCCTTAAAAATATCAAGGGTGTCCTTTTGAATTCCCTTTAGAACCAGCCACAAGGGGAAGGTCCACCCAAAACAGACGAGCCACCCACATATCAAAACCGGACAATGCATGTACCATTTGTTGGGAAGCCCTACTTCTGGGTTTCGGGAAATTGTTTGCCCAAGACGGGGAACTTCGGCCCAAGTCCGAGATGACCTCACTCTGAAGGACCCAACTGCACAAAGATATGATTTCTGAATGGGTGAAGGGTGCGAGCAGGCCTGAACTGCATCTAGAGAGAGCCCTCGCACAGACTCCTGAGTCAGCCGGGGTGGGTCGGGAGGGACTCCCTGGAAAGGATTGGTGCCCTTTGGGTTGCAACCCCTCCCCCTTTAAGGAATATGGCTGGGGCTATCAATTTTGTGAGTGGGTCCCTTTGTGCGCAGTCTGCCGGATTCTGGCAATATTGTCAAGCATAAATATTTTTCAGGAAGTAGAGAAACCTCCAAACGGCTTCGGCTTTGCACATCCCATTTCAACATCACCCCACTCAAAGTCGCCCAAACATTCGTCAAACAGGTGACGTTCAACGGGCATACGAGAAACTGATCCACGAGGTTTGGACAAGGCAGCATGAACTCCAACCGCCCTCACTTCCTTTTGGATTCTAAGTCACGGCCAAACTCTGGAGCAGATTGACCCAAAATCATGTAATCCCAGGATCCCGAGACCTGTAAATATGAGGGCCTACCCCCAAAGGACTTTCTTGGGTCTTGGGAACCTAGCGTAAAGACTCAAAAGGGGGGCTGTACTTATTTAGCCATTGGCGCCAGAGTATAAATGACGTGGCCACCTGGACATTTTAAGATTCTGCTGGACATTTTCCGACAACCCTAAAGACAAGAAAACAATCGGAGACCTGTTGGGTGTCTGAATTTCGGTTGCTTTCTGCTCCCCTGCTAAACGTTTAATTTTTCGTGGTTTCATGGAAAGCCCATTAGCTGGCAAAAAGTTAAAGTCCTAACATCCAAGCAAAATGCACCAAATAATTGAATGGTGGTGCTTGAGAGGTGTGTTTTTTTTTTTCCCCGCAACCATTCCCAGCTATACCCTTACATTTTGATCATCTCTTAGGACCAGCGTCCGGTCTCAGAAATGCCAACCCCCCCGATTTTGCTGGGCCACACTTAGACCTGCTACATATGACATGATGCTGCTTGCAAGGGCAAGCGTGACAACATGTTGCAAACTGATGGACAGCATTTGCTGGTTGATGGCAAGATGGAAAATGATGGAACACCGAAAAAGCAAAAACACAAAACAAGGCAAGGTGATCCCTCAGGTTCAGAAACCACCCTTAGAACATGGGCTGGGTTCATATGACCGCCATTTACCTATAGGGATTGTCATCATCCAAATTTAGTCCTTGCCATTCCTTCAAAGGGAACCCCTTGAACCCTAGGGTGATGGAAATGACTTGCCGGTTGGTTCAGCTGAGTCTTTTGATTTCGATCTGACATCCGGACACTGCACTGACTTGGAGTACCTCAAACTCGGAACTTTTTCCGCTGGGCTTCCCTTTGAAACCAACCCAAAAGACAGGCCCAAACGGGTCTTTCCAACTAGGCTGTGCAAAATGGGGGATCCCGAAGAGTCCAAATTCCCTAGGAGAAGAGAAACCACCAGGATTCAACGTCCAAAAGATGACCCTCAGGCTCCACCATGTAAAGCTCACTTGCCCAAAGGACCCAGAAATGAAAGGTTAACCTTTTGGGTCCCTGACTAAAACTAGACCAACAAGGAGAAACCAAAAGGTCAAAAGGTCGGCTTTGGGCAACTAAGAAAAGAAATTGGTGTCG